GTTCTGTCCAGAGGAGTCAGAGATGGACCAGAAGCTGGTGGACGGAACCAGAAGAACCCGACTGAGGAGAACATGGACGTTAAAGGACGTTTAACCAGATGTTAAAGTCGATGTGTGAATGTTTATGATCAGCAGGTTTTGTCATGTTTCCAGAAAACCTTTAATAAACCTATGACAGAACCCAAACATTCATATGTTCTACTGAACATCACAGAACGTTCAGCGTTACAGGAATCACTGGAAACTCAAGACTGAATCACAGACATGGTCCTCACAAGTGGATGGAAACGTTTGTTCCCAACTGTGCCTTCAACACTAACATGGCCTGTCTGAGCCTGAAGTCCATTCATAGAAAACACAGGAGCTACAAACCATCTTAGGCTCATGCACGAGGAAGCATGTAAAGACCAACAAGTCCCAAGTGAAGAGCAACCTATAAAAAATAGCACAGCACAAAACGTCTGCACGTGTACGATGGGTTCTGGCTTCACAATATTCATGTGGTGCAACAACAGAGTTAAATCAGAGAGCAGCTCCAGAGACTGAGCGCTCCTTCATATCACGTCTGATCTTTAATAAAACAGCAGAACAGACTGTTATTATCAGACATATTAGTCTGAGCCTGCAGACCACAGCCTTCTCTGGCTCAACGTGGAGGTTTGGTGTCTGACCTGAAGTGAAACAAACGTCCCAACGCTGCTGATGTTTACATTCACAACAACAAATCCAATGTTTGGTCCAAACCCTCAGTGGACGCATCCAACAGCATCAAAGGCCGAGTTACTGATCGATTCCCAAGAACTCTGCGGAACTCCCAAGAACTACTGAAACCCATCAGTGAGAACTCACCGGACACTACGGAGCTTCATGAAACATTCAGGAGAACAACTTCACATCTAACAAGTCAAGCAGCAAGACGAGACTAACAACCCCCACATCAAGGTGCAACACCTGCCCAAGTCCAAAGCAAAGGCTAGAAAGTGACACGTCCCAAGAGAAGACCTACAAGTCCCCCAAGTCAAGCATCAAGTCAAGACCAGCAAGTTCCCAAATAAAGACCTACAAATCTCCCAAGAAAAGACCTACAAGTCCCAAGTCA